AATATTATGGGTAAATAGTGCTTTATTTAGTCATTAATTATGTAGCAAATTATTTAAAAGTGAAGATAACATTCAGTATCTTTATTTTCCTAAACACAAGGGTCCATCCTGACTCTCTGTACAATACCAGTCCCCTTTGTCCCAAAGCAAAATGACATCATACCTAGCTTACAGAGGGTATAAAGTCTATGTTGGACATATTGGCACATTGTTATAAAGCTGCTCTGGGTTCATGAAACCTGTGAGATCTTAATACAAAAAAAAAAATTAATTAAAAAACAAACAGCTTTGATGTATTATTATTAATTGATCCACTTAAATAAATGGTAAGTTCATCAAATTTTAACCATGGGTATTTATTTGAAAATGATATGGAAATTGAAACAAATGTCAGAATCAAAGTTTGTTTTGTAATTTTTTTTTCTTAATATCTATTTACTATTGTGAGTTGACAGTAGATAATTGTAAATGTTAAAGTCAAAACCAGCAACAGCGATCCTGGCAATCTTCAGACTTAACAGCAACAATCTTAAAAACACAGAAACTGCTGCACATAAACAATAGCACAAAAACTAAGTACTTAATAACAATATAAATATATATTTATATAACATTTTGATATTATAATAGAGGTTCAGTGTTTATCTATGTAAGTGTCTAGATTAAAGATTATTTCACATAATATTAGATTAGATCACCCTGGAATCTGTACACCAGTCCTAGTTCATTAGAATGTGTGGTCCTTGAAATCACTGAGCAACATCCAATATTTATCTGCTAATTAGAGTAAGCAACAAGCACACCTGCATGGCTACTAGTCTAAACAGCTTTAAAAGATAAATAATTCCACCCTGGACCTCACGTCGGTACCTGTGCTCATAGTCTCAGATCCAGTGATTGGTGGGCATGGATTGTGGAATAAATAGATGTAGTGGTTATTTTTTCCTAGGCCATATTAGCTGGATATTATAACTTTGTTTACCTTGTTGAGGTTGTGAATCATTAAGATCAAATTGCTTACTGCATTTAACTAATTTTTATATTGTGATATTAATGTAAATATTATGTGGACGCAATAAACAAACTGAAGTACTGTGCAGTCAGAGAAAAGAGGAAAATAGGAAAAAATAAAGAACATAAAAAAAGTGGGATGGGAGAACAAAAAAGAAAAAAAGGAAGGGGAATGTATTGCACATTAAATAACGACAGTTGGGGAGGAGAGGAATGAAGATAGATGGGAAAATAGCTTAATGGGAAAAAAGTGCAGAGGCAGTACATGCACAGGAGACATCTATAACCATTCATGGTCACTGAAGTCAGAAGTCCTCTCACTCAGCCATTATGGGTTATTGTTTCGATAGGGATGAATCTTTTTACTGATTGTATCCAAATAAAAAGTACATGATGGACCCAACTTTGTTAATGTAACTTTGTTGACTTTGTACGATTGTTTATTGTCTTCTTCAAACAATGCCAGACTTTCCTTGTATAATATGTCACATTCATAATGTTATGCAAATTTCACTGTTTAATATTTACAATCAGAAAAACTAAAAATAAAGCTTGTCAAAAAAAATGTTTATCTGCTAATCAAAGGATGGACACTGTGAGCTGTTTCCACAGGCACTAGTTTTGTTTCAGGAGTACTAACGGAAGCTTCTGTTAAAGTCAACAATATTCAGAAAACATAGTCAAACATAGAGTTTGACAAAAAATAATTAATCTGTGGTCATAATTTTTGTGCAATTAATATTTCTTTTAATAATCCAAGTGAAAATAAAGATATTAAAAGAAAAACAAAAAAAATATATTTAATTATAACACAACATTTAAAATTTTATTATAACACAAATGCAACTCAAGGTATCAAAAATAATGAGAAAAAGTCCATTTATAAGATATAATTAATTGACCATCACCTGGTTATAACATAAATGAGTTGATATTAATGAAGGTACTGCCCTATGTAGCTATTTGAAAGCATGTGGAGAGACATAAAGATGTGCATAAAATGTAATAAGCAAGTTAATACATTGATGGTTATATTAAGAAGTATTTGGTTGACTACAATGCTATGTATCAAACCATGATGTAAATGTACAATGTTTTATTAGCGAATCAAAATGAAAATATATCTCTTGTTAATCTCATGTTACATAGCTAATGTTACATATGTTATACTTTAAGAACATTGGATTTGAAGTAACAGCACAAAGTGTGATTATGAGAAAAAGAATATCCAAGAGTGACATAGCCAAAACTTCAGGTCTATTGGCCATATTAGGATTTCCTCTTCAAGGGGTGCAAGGTAGGATTGAATTGCTGCATCATCCTTTTCAGGCTTTTTGGGATTTATGTCCTCTCATAGAGTCCTGTCACATAACTTTATATTGAATGTTATTTGATATAATGTAACTAGATGTGTTTCGAAGTAAAGGGGCGTACCAGACTCCAAAAGCCCTTCCGCTTGCTAATGGGGTTTATGTGTGAAGAGCGTGTTCTCTTGTTTTATAGTTAAAAAAGTGCAGATATTAGTAGAAATTGGCACTTTTATAAATGAACCTTGTTACATCATCTTAGCTGTCAAACAGACAACTGGTCCTGTTACTTCCTAATAGTTTAGTTCAGTGGAACTAACCTCAAGAGGCAGGCAATTGCACAGATACTATGCCTTGCACAGACTTCTCATTGAGCTACATTTGGAATTCTACGATTGAAGAACCACTTTTTCACATGATTGATTGGGTTTACAAGGGGAAGGCTTGGAAAGGCTACAGACAAGAAAATTGCAGCTTTTGGAATTGAAGCTGGCAGAACTAAGGCACTTATGTGGAGAAAATGTTTTAAGTCCCCCTAGCGCAAGAGTGGAAAAACAATAGATTCCATTTGTCATTTAACTCCCACAATGCTATGTCAGCTGTGGATCTACCATTTGGCCACCCTTGCAGGGTTATATTTGGGAGCAGTGTTTGTGCATTTGAATGTAAGCATGTTTTTGTATAGCGTTTGTGTATGTAGAGGTGTATTTCTATGTACTGTTACCATTGGAATGCAGTGGTGTACAAGTGAGTAGTGTAGGAGTGAACCACAAAACAAATTAGTTTATTAAAAGCTATATTATGTATTGGCTGTTGATAGTAACAATGCTTAGCAACTATTTAAAAAAAAACAAAAACAAAAAACAACCATGAAAACAAGATTTTTTTACTTTAGATCTATGTGACTTATACTGGTCAGCCACAACATTAAAGTTACCTGCCTAATACTGTGTAGGTGCTCCTTGTGCTGCCAAAACAGAACTGCTGAGTAGAGGAATGGACTCCAAAAGAACTCTGAATATGTCCTGTAGTATGTGGCACCAAGCCATTAGCAGCAGTCCTTTAATTCCTGCAAGTTGCAAGGTAGGACCTCCATGGATCAGTTTTGTTGTTCCAACACACCCTACAGATGCTCAATTAGATTAAGATCTGGAAGCCAAGGAAACACCTTGTACTCTTTGTCATGATCTTTAAAACATCCCTGAACAATTTTGCATAGTGGCAGTGTACATTTACTGAAAGAATCCAAGGTGAACAAGGAAGAGTATTGCCACAAATGAGTGTACATTCTCCGCAGCAATATCTAGTTTGGTGATAAATGTCAACGCAACATCCATATGAATGCCAGGACCCAAAATTTACCAGCAGAACATTGCCCAGACCATAAAACCTCCTCCACCAGCCTGCCTTCTTCCCACAGTGCATTCTGCTGTTTTTTTCTTCTCCAGGTAAACAACGTACATGCACCCAGCCACCCACCTTATCTAAACTAAAACATGATTCATCAGACAGGAAATCTTCTTCCATTGCTCCATGGTCCAGTGCTGATGCTCACGTCCCCATTGAGGTGCTTTTGGCACTGGACAAGTGTCATAATGGCAACTGTGACCCATCAGTAGCTATGCAACCCCACATGCAGCAAACTGTGAAGCACAATTTTATCTTGGCCATTATTTGGTTATTCAGCAATTTGAGCTATAGTAACTCTTGTGTGTCAGCAGACCAGATGGCCTAGCCTTTGCTCCACACATATATAAATGACACTTGGGCACCCATGACAGTGATGCTAGTCCACTATTTGTCCTTCCTTGTACCACTTTTGGTATATAATAACCATTGCTTACAAGGAACACCATAGAAGACTTTGTTTTAGAGATGCTGTGACTTGGTCGTCTAGCCATCACTATTTGGGCCTTGCAGAAGTCACTAAGAGCCTTTCCTTTGCCAATTTTTCCAATACTTGAAACTCTCAGATGATTGTTTACTGGCTGCTTAATATAGCGTAGTCCTTGACAGGTGCCATTGTAACATATAAATCAATGTTATTCACTTCACCTGTCAATTGTTTTAATGTTGTGGCTGATCCATGTATAACAAGGTATATTTACTAAGAAACAATGTTCTTGCATCAGGAACAACTATACATTTTGTCCAGAAATTGTCCAAGTTTGAACAAATCTCAATTTCTGTAAGAACAGTTTCTCAAATCAACATACAATGTGTTGACTATTAATCATCTGTTTCAAATAAATATTCTGCTATATTCTTACTTTAAATAAGCATAACTTTACAGTAAGATTTTGCCATTCAGATTTAATTACAGTTTATTGAGTAATTATATTTGTTCACATTTTTGAGAGAGGGAAACTTTTATCCACTAAGATATCAAATGCGGGTTTTTTTGTGTGTTTTTTAAAGTACTAAGAAATGTTATTACAGACTTAAATAATGTAAAACATGTTTTTTTCTTTATTCTTTTTGTTTGTAGGTGACCACAGGGATAAACCAGACAATGGTGACAGAATTAATTCTTTTGGGATTTCAGAACCCTCCAATTTTTAACACTATATTATATATTTTATTCCTTTTTATCTACTTTTTTACAGTAGCTTTAAATTGTCTGATCATTTCACTGGTGGCAACTGTTCCAAGTCTCAACACACCCATGTATTTCTTCCTTAGTCACTTATCCACATCCGATATCTTGATCACTACCAATATAACTCCTAATATGCTCCATGTTATTTTACATGTACAAAGTACAATATCTCTTACTGGCTGCATTACACAGTTTTATTTTCACGGTCTATCATCTTCTTCAGAGACCCTTTTCCTTACAGTGATGTCCTACGACCGATATCTCGCTATATGCAAACCATTACATTACACTTCCATCATGGATATCTGGCTTTGTCTCTATTTAGCCGTTTGGTCTTGGATTTTATCATGTACAGTGTCAATGCTCATTGCTTCTCTAATACATCAGCTAGTGTTCTGTGGACCTCACATAATTGACCATTATTTCTGTGATTTTATTCCTCTTCTGCAATTGTCTTGTTCAGATTCTACCATTGTAAAAATGACAGTTATTGTATTATCGATACCACTTGTAATTCTCCCCTTGTCTTCCATCTTTTACACATATATCTCTATTTTCATAACGATCTCCAGAATTTCCACCAGCAGTGGGAAACTGAAATCTTTCTCCACCTGCAGCTCTCACTTGATCGTAGTGAGTATATACTATGGAACTCTAATAACAATATACATGGCTCCTTCTAATAATTCGGCATTCAATATTAATAAGTCTATATCTCTCTTATATACAGTGGGAACTCCACTTTTCAATCCAATTATTTACTGTCTAAGGAACAACGATATTAAGAACGCAGTGAGGAAATATCTCAAGTAGAACAATACTAAATTGCATTAAATTATGTATTTTTTTTTGTATAAAGTGATGTATTTTACAGACTATTTAACCATGTAACTGGTCACATAGAAGGTTGTCTGTGCACTCACAGTTGTATTAATATTCATTTCTTTTATATTCATAAATTCTAGTTATGTTATTTTTCCTATTATTTTTTAATTTTTATTTTTTATGGCTAATAATTACAAACAAATGTTAAGTTTGAAAAAATGAGAATACTTGTTCAGTTTCCATCCTCCTACATTTAGTTAGATGATCATTTCCATGTTTTCCTGAGAGAGATTGGAGCATGTAACAGGTGGATAAAAAGGTAACAGACATTCTGCTCTATAGTAATGTCACCACTAAATATAGTAATGTCACCACTAAATATAGTAAATTCACCATTGAGCAGAAGCCTTAATAATTAAGCAAATTAGTTTATCACTGCTCTAGACAGAAATAAGAGACCATCTGCTTCTGGAATCAGGAGCCCTACCTTTCAAACCCATTTGTGGCTGACCAATCACTGACTTTCCAAAGCAGCTCAATGAGATGTCTTTGTGAAGCAGGTGTTCTGTATAATTGCTGCCTCTTGAGTTTAGCTCCTCTAGGCTAAACTACCAGGAAGTATCGAAATCAGCTGTCTGACTGAAAACCAACAGGATGTAACAAGGTTAATTTATAAAATTCCCAATTTCCACTAAGATCTACACTATTTTAAATGAATAAAGAGGACACACTCTGTACACAGAAAGCAGTGCTTATAGGAATGCATATTACTGAGATCCTCGGCCTTTAAAAATATTTTTCAAGGAAATGATCAATGTAAGATCTCCAAAAGTATATCCATATTATTCAGGAAGCTTTAAAACTATAGAATTCATCATATAAATGTTCAGTGTTAATGTAAGAACAGTGTTGATGTAGTCTAATGTGATAATATTCCTTGTCAGTGAGCTGATTTAAAGGGCTAGGATATGATAGCATTGAACTATTATATATAAGGAAAGTGCAAACTTATATATAATAAATTGATTAAGAGGAAATTGATTAATAGGGTTATTCAATAAAGTGAGAACTTATACTTTAGTTCAACTACTCTGGTCTTAAATTTGAAATTCAATCATACCTGACTTAAAATATTATTTTCTTAAATGGCTTGTTTAACCTTAAATTGAAAGTTGTCTTTTGAATTCTGTTTCAATTCTTACTTTAATGAGTTTTTTTAATCAAATTCAGTATAAATATGTATCTTTAAAAAACTAATTTCAGATTTTTTTTTTGCAAACCAGAATATTCACGTTTATAATAGTGCATTTATAGGGTATTAATAGCTTGATGTTTCAGTGAGAAATATGAGTTTGATGACGAGAATATTATTTACCCTTTCTGTGGCATAATTGGAAACAGCTTCAAATTCTATTTGTTCCATCTATATTTGGATCAAGAGCAGAACTGGAGACGTGTAAAAAACTGATCTCTACGGATTTGATTTATTGTCTAAAAGGTATGGACTACTTACTGAAACATATATTTTTCTGATGATCACTGAATATAGTCTTAGAACATTCAGTTAAACTGCAATTTATTATTCATGGAATGTATTTTTAACATACTTTTCGTGGAATTGTTATGTACCAAATGTCTTGTGTTTAGAACACTCTGACCGCAATGCCTCCATGTTCATAGATAAGAAGAATACGCTAGCTGTTACGTTATGCTTTTGGTCCCCTGTTATTAATTACATAGAAACTGTCCTCTTTTTACATAAAAATCTTTGCTTTCCCGTTACACTGTACAAATCAACTTACACTGACCTGTGTCCGCAAATCTGATTTCCTGAGCGCTCGATATTATCTAATCTGGAAGTCTTTTATATTATTTGGGTCTTTTCCCTGACAAAGATAAAGAGCCCATCCAATAAACAGCAGTTGTAAAGAAAGCATAGTTAACTTTGCTGAACTGGAGATTAACTGTAGACCTTTTAAATCAGGTATTTATTAGAGTTGAGCCAACACCTGGATGTTCGGGTTCGCCGAGTTCGGCCGAACTTCGTCAAAAAGTTTGAGTTCGGGCTCGAACTTGACCCCGAACCCAATGAGAAACGGCTACCACATGCAAGGAAAGCAGCAGGCGCGCAAATTACCTACGCGGGGAGGTAGTGACGACAAATAATGGAATAAATGTCTATTCTGCACAAGGTAGGATCCATGCCTGGTTTATTTTAATAAATGTGAGCTTGGACAGGCGTCTGCGCTTGTCTGTGATAACCTTGTGCCGATCGCACATCCCCGTGATGGCGACAACGCATTTGTATGTCTGCCCTATCAACTTTCAATGCTATTTTCTGTGCCTACCATGGTGACCATGGATAACGGGGAATCAGGGTTCGATTTCAGGGAGGGAGAATGAGAAACGGCTACCACATGCAAGGAAAGCAGCAGGCGCGCAAATTACCTACGCGGGGAGGTAGTGACGACAAATAACAATACACTACTCTTTTGAGGCCCTGTAATTGTAAAGAGGCCACTTTAAATCCTTTAACATGGTTCAGTTGGAGGGCAAGTCTGGTGCAGAGCGACTGAACTGTGCGTGCTGCAGCTGAAACTCCACTATCGCCTGCTGCTGCTCGCTGAAGTTACATCAGGGTCCTGGTATGTGGCCACACAAACGCTGGTGCTCAAAACCAGGGGGCATGCGGTTACCCTGCTAATCCATTCCACACTGTAACACCTAACTTTAACATCAGGCACACAGGGTCCCAGTCGTCCAACAGCCGCCCAGACAGTGTCTGGGTCCCGGTCACCGGACTCCTCCCTGACTGTGAAACTGCAAATGGCTCGTTGGACTCGCTGTTATGGTTCCTTTTATCACTCCATCTGTTACTTGGATAACTGTGGGAATTCTAAAGATAATACATGCCGACGAGCGCTAGGGGATGGCTGCTCCGCTTTTGCACCCTGCTCCCTCTCATGCTGTGCTGGTGCCTCTGTGCGACCAGCGCCTCTTCCTGTCAGAATATTTATATCAACAGACATTTTGTGCTAAAAAGAAATTAAAAGTGTATATTGCCACAGCCACTCAGAACAAAGCGGACTCCATTTTGCTATCTTCAGGATAACAAAAACACATAATTTCCTTGATTTCTTCTTACTTCTGTAACTAGCCACTTGCTTGAGCTGAGGAATGTATTACATAAACAAACCAAGATAAGCAATGAAGCAAGGGGGATGGGACGCTCCGTCTAACATGTTAATGGAATACATGCATATCTAAACACAGACACTAGTGACAGAGAAGACTAAGTAATTAATTTTACTTTCTAAATTTTACAAGGTACCATTATAGTAAGGGGTGAAATTGAGTTTAGAACTGTCAATTTTACAAGTTACGACCAAAGTAGTTGCCACAAAGACTGGAACAAACGCTTTGAACTGACAGCAAATCTAAGTTATGGTAGTCATTTTAGATAAGCCAAATGACGTCAAAATCGTCATCAGGAAAAGTTAACTCTTTCCTGGATAGGAAGGTTTCGTTAGACGAGACTGCCATCTATGGATCAAATACCTAAATTGCGACCCATAGATTGGACACACCTACGGCTTCCTATTGGGTTATCAACTAATGACGTACAAAGAGTCTGGCCCTTTAAAAAAAAAAAGACAAAGGGAAGAGAGAGGGGAGTTGGAGTTGAGAGACAGAGAGAGGAATTGGAAGTTTGGGCATCCAAGTTGGACATGCAGAGAAATCCAGGACAATATCTGGGACCAACACTCTACCCTTAAACTCACTTGGACATAAACTCTTAAACTCTTTAATACTTTTTCTATCACTCACGCACCTCCATACAACCAATCAAGTTTCTGGGACTACCTACTCATCTGATGAGAATATCTACATAACTGGTAATTATGCTGGTTTTATTTAATTCATTTTAATTAATTAAAATTTACTAATAGCATGATATATGACTGGATAAATCATGGTCAGATTTCCATATTAAGAAATCTTAGTTAACTAAAGAATATATAATTATAAACATTCCATTCTGCAGGTGGAATTAAGAATAATTATATATTAATGTGATATTATCACATGTTAGCATACCGCTGTTTTTATCCAGGTGTATTGATTTGCTCTAAATTAAGATAAGATATCTTTTTAGACAAATTAAATTCTGCTTATAAAATCTGGTAGAATATTCTTATTGGATGGTTCCAGGAAATGACTAATGAGCTGGTTTAAATGTTATTTTAATTGAAAATCACAGGAGAATAGGATACTATATGTCTAGGAGGATCTAGCCAGCATTGAAAGGGTTACTCAGTTGATTTAACTGTGAGCCAGGGTTTTATGGCCCCTCGCTGTGAAAAGCTTCACTTTTTGTCTGTAAGGATACCCTCATAAATCGTGTAAGTCTTGACAGAAAATGCTGTTTAGCCATTGAAACGTGTATACCCATCCCATTGTATTGTATACTATGTCATACTAAATATTCACTGATTAATATCATACATGCTGCCTAATATTATTGTTAATTAATTTGTTACAATAAAAATAAATCTAGTTTTATAACAAATTGTGAATTATTGATGGAATACTTTTCACTTACATGATAAACGATCTCTAAGATCTAAGAGAATTTAAATAGTGGGCAATTCTCGACTGCTTAAAATTATCATCCCATAAATATCCCCACATTCCTCCAAACTGCACACATCACTCACATGACCTTCTTTCCACATTGTTTTAGTGTTTGGTTTTTAAATTTGTAGTCTTTACACAATATAGAAATGTATATTAATGCTTCTGTATATGAAGCAATCACAATAACACTTATTTTTCACTTTTTTAAAAAGTCTTTAGACTTTCTTGAGAAGCGGTAACTAGCCAGTGTTGCACACTTACACTAGATATGAAGTGCACACACCAAATGTACTATTTAGCAGCCAACAAATTAGAATTTTTAAAACTGAGCTGTAAGCACAGTATTTAATGATTCTATTTGACTCTCAGATATGAAGTGCATGCCCCAAATTTATTTTTTAGCAACTAAAGAATTTGAATATTTAAAACTGTAATGTAAGCAAAGTATTTGACGGTTCTATTTGACTCTCAGAAATGAACTGCAGGCACCAAATTGACAATTTAGCACCTAAATAATTCAAATGTTTAAAACTGCTATGTCACATTATAATTTGACGGTTCTATTTGACTCTCAGATATGATGTGCAGGCACCAAATTGACTTTTTAGCACCTAAAGAATTTGAATATTTAAAACTGCAATGTAAGCACAGTATTTGACGGTTCTATTTGACTCTCAGATATGAAGTGCAGGCACCAAATTGACTTTTTAGCACCTAAAGAATTTGAATGTTTAAAACTGCAATGTAAGCACAGTATTTGACAGTTCTATTAGACTCTCAGATATGAAGTGCAGGCACCAAATTGACTTTTTAGCACCTAAAGAATTAGAATGTTGAAAACTGCAATGTAAGCACAGTATTTGACGGTTCTATTTGATTCTCAGATATGATGTGCAGGCACCAAATTTACTTTTTAGCACCTAAAGAATTTGAATGTTTAAAACTGCAATGTAAGCACAGTATTTGACGGTTCTATTTGATTCTCAGATTTGAAGTGCAGACACCAAATTGACGTTTTAGCACCTAAAAAATTTGAATGTTTAAAACTGCAATGTAAGGACAGTATTTGATGGTTCTATCTGAAAAATTTACTATTTAGTACCAAAAGGTTTGATGTTTTTAAACCAACAATGTAACAGTAGTATTTAAGGGTTTTATTGGACTTCAAGAAATGCAGTACGCAAATGTACTATTTAGTACCAAAAAAATTGCGGTATTTAAAAATGCCTAGATGTTGCCCACTGAGCTACCAGAACAGGATTAAAGTAATGTGCCTGGCACAAATGCAAATGCAAGTGCACTGCACTCTTAGAAACATAGAAACATAGAAACATAGAAACATAAAATGTGACGGCAGATAAGAACCATTCGGCCCATCTAGTCTGCCCAATTTTCTAAATACTTTCATTAGTCCCTAGTCTTATCTTATAGTTAGAATAGCCTTATGCCTATCCCATGCATGCTTAAACTCCTTTACTGTGTTAACCTCTACCACTTCAGCTGGAAGGCTATTCCATACATCCACTACCCTCTCAGTAAAGTAATACTTCCTGATATTATTTTAAACCTTTGTCCCTCTAATTTAAGACTATGTCCTCTTGTTGTGGTAGTTTTTCTTCTTTTAAATATAGTCTCCTCCTTTACTGTGTTGATTCCTTTATATATTTAAATGTTTCTATCATATCCCCCCTGTCTCGTCTTTCCTCCAAGCTATACATGTTAAGATCCTTTAACCTTTCCTGGTAAGTTTTATCCTGCAATCCATGAACCAGTTTAGTAGCCCTTCTCTCAACCCTCTCTAAGGTATCAATATCCTTCTGAAGATACGGTCTCCAGTACTGTGTAAAATACTCCAAGTGAGGTCTCACCAGTGTTCTGTACAATGGCATGAGCACTTCCCTCTTTCTACTGCTAATACCTCTCCCTATACAACCTAGCATTCTGCTAGCATTTCCTGCTGCTCTATTACATTGTCTGCCTACCTTTAAGTCATCAGAAATAATCAACCCTAAATCCCTTTCCTCATATGTTGAGGTTAGAACTCTATCAAATATTCTGTACTCTGCCTTTGGGTTTTTACGTCCAAGATGCATTATCTTGCACTTATCCACATTAAATGTCAGTTGCCACAATTCTGACCATTTTTCTAGTTTACCTAAATCATTTGTCATTTGGCTTATCCCTCCTGGAACATCAACCCTGTTACATATCTTAGTATCATCAGCAAAAAGACATACCTTACCATCAAGACCTTCTGCAATATCACTAATAAAAATATTAAAGAGAATGGGTCCAAGTACAGATCCCTGAGGTACCCACTGGTGACAAGTCCAAGCTTCAAATATATTCCATTAACTACAACCCTCTGTTGCCTGTCACTCAGCCACTGCCTTACCCATTCAACAATATTGGAATCCAAACTTAAAGATTGCAGTTTATTGATAAGCCTTCTATGTGCAACAGTGTCAAAAGCCTTACTGAAATCTAGGTAAGCAATGTCTACTGCACCACCCTGATCTATAATTTTAGTTACCCAATCAAAAAAATCAATAAGATTAGTTTGGCATGATCTCCCTGAAGTAAACCCATGTTGTCTCTGATCTTGAAATCCATGTGTTTTTAGATGTTCAACAATCCTATCCTTTAACATGGTTTCCATCACTTTCCCCACTACTGAAGTAAGGCTTACTGGCCTATAGTTGCCCGACTCCTCCCTATTACCTTTCTTGTAAATGGGCACAACATTCGCTAACTTCCAATCTTCTGGGACTACTCCTGTTAACAATGATTGGTTAAATAAATCTGTTAATGGTTTTGCTAGTACACCACTA